CTAAATTCTAGTCTAGGTGGTATTTTTAGCGTTTAGCGTTAGACGATTCGTACTTTTTCGATTAGACTTCTCAATCAAAGGTTATGGACTAGAAACCAATTTCGAGAGAAAATTTAAAAGGGCTGTAACTTTTGATCTAGTAGCACAATCTTGGAACTGTTTGAAATTATGAATTCTACAGGCCACATTCTATAAGAAAAATTTTTTTCCAGGTCGATCTGAGACAATTTTTTTTCGAGTCCCAAAAAAAAGCAGTGTATAACCTTCCTTTTTTACCAAAAATCGACTGCACCAAAATTTCTCGGGAAAACACTTTTTCTTATTAATTTTGGTGCGTAGAATCCAAAGCAATTCGTACTTTTTCGATTAGACTTCTCAATCAAAAGTTATAGACTAGAAACCAATTTCGAAAAAAAATTCAAAGGTCTGTAACTTTTGAACTAGTAGCCCAATCTTGGAACTGTTTGAAATTATGGATTCTACAGGCCACATTCTATAAGAAAATTTTTTTTCCCGGTCGATCTGAGACAGTTTTTTCTTCGGGGCTCAAAAAAAGGCAGTGTATAACCTTCCTTTTTTACCAAAAATCGACTACACCAAAATTTCTCGGGAAAACACTTTTTTTTATTAATTTTGGGGCGTAGAATCCAAAACAATTCGTACTTTTTCGATTAGACTTCTCAATCAAAAGTTATAGACTAGAAACCAATTTCGAAAAAAAAATCAAAGGGCTGTAACTTTTGAACTAGTAGCCCAATCTTGGAACTGTTTGAAATTATGGATTCTACAGGCCACATTCTATAAGAAAATTTTTTTGCGGGTCGATCTGAGACAATTTTTTTTTCGGGGCTCAAAAAAAGGCAGTGTATAACCTTCCTTTTTTACCAAAAATTGACTGCACCAAAATTTCTCGGGAAAACACTTTTTCTTATTAATTTTGGTGCGTAGAATCCAAAACAATTCGTACTTTTTCGATTAAACTTCTCAATCAAAAGTTATAGACTAGAAACCAATTTCGAAAGAAAATTCAAAGGGCTGTAACTTTTGAACTAGTAGCCCAATCTTGGAACTTTTTGAAATTATGGATTCTACAGGCCACATTCTATAAGAAAATTTTTTTCCGGGTCGATCTGAGACAATTTTTTTTTCGGGGCTCAAAAAAAGGTAGTGTATAACCTTCCTTTTTTACCAAAAATCGACTACACCAAAATTTCTCGGGAAAACACTTTTTCTTATTAATTTTGATGCGTAGAATCCAAAACAATTCGTACTTTTTCGATTAGACTTCTCAATCAAAAGTTATGGACTAGAAACCAATTTCGAAAGAAAATTTAAAAGGGCTGTAACTTTTGATCTAGTAGCCCAATCTTGGAACTGTTTGAAATTATGGATTCTACAGGCCACATTCTATAAGAAAATTTTTTCCGGGTCGATCTGAGACAATTTTTTCTTGGGGTCTCAAAAAAAGGCAGTGTATAACCTTCCTTTTTTACCAAAAATCGACTACACCAAAATTTCTCGGGAAAACACTTTTTCTTATTAATTTTGGTGCGTAGTATCCAAAACAATTCGTACGTTTTCGATTAGACCTCTCAATAAAAAGTTATGGACAAAAAACAAATTTCGAAAAAAAATTCAAAGGGCTGTAACTTTTGATCTAGTAGCCCAATCTTCAAACTGTTTGAAATTATGGATTCTACGGGCCAAATTCTATAAGAAAATGTTTTTTCCCGGTCGATCTCAGACATTTTTTTTTCCGGCCTCAAAAAAAGGCAGTACTTTTAAGTTATTCAAATATTTGAGAACAATTTAGAAATGTTTAGGGAAAGTTTCCATTGTCACAAAATCAAATATAAAAATCCGATACATCTGAATACCGAACTCGATAGTCTACGTAACTTAAAAACAATAGGGACCTTTCTTATATCCTTAAGACCATGTGTACCAATTTTCAAAAGCGATCGCACGTTTCTAAACAAGTTATCATGCACACGGACAAACGGATGGTCAATAAAGGATCTGTTCCAAAATCGCTAGGATTAATTTCAGAAGGGCGTAGGTACGTATCATGTGCACGACGTACGATCGCTTTGAAAACTGGTACACGTATTCTTAAGGATATAACTGGTATACTACTATATTATCTAGTATACTATTTTAAATTTTTAATGTATTTAAGTGACAAGTATTCGAATACTTTTTATAGTATTCGAATACCTTTGATAGTATTAGAATACTTTTGAAACTATTCGAATACCTTTGAAAGTATTCAAATACTTTTTGAAAGTATTCTGCTCAGCTCTGAGTGTGACACGTAATTATTTTTTGTCCTCTATCTAATTCCCTAAAAATCCCTTATCTAGCGTGCTACGGAAAATAACACATTCAAATTCTCCGAAAAAAAATATGCGTTTTTTTAATCACAAAAAAGGAGCAACTTTGCCCCCATTTAACCTAAACTGCACTCCCCACCGTTACGAGGATCCCAATGGCGAGCCACGAATTTGAAACACCCTGTACTATAAAAGTTACCCTTCTCAAATCGAGTGAGAGGAATCTGTAAAACAAAGTGTGGACTTGTATCACTCAAATAACATAATGTATTATAAGACTTATTTATTAAACTACACGTCATGTTACATATTGAACACACCAAGGTCTGTTTCATCTCTGTCTCTGACGAAGTAAAGTAATGTAATGCTTTAGCAAGGGATGCGTGTTATACGGGTTATACCTGCAACGCAAAGTACGCCCTTCTCCTAAGGTTTGTAATTTGAAACTGTTGTCGCTTAAGTAATATATTTTACTTTTAACGCTAAATGTCAAGTTAACTAAATTGGGGTGCAAAATATAAAGCATGCATGACCGAAACCTGAACTGGAACAAAGTTAAAAAAAAAACTTCGAGAGGGTGACATTTGTATGTGCAGTTGGAGGGCTGCTTGTGGATTATTTAAGTTTAAGCCATATCAATCAAGGAATCAGACATATTCGGTGTACTACAAAAGTTACACCTTTCTCAATAAGAATGACTAAGGCCGAATTTCTAGAAGAAAATTCTTAATATCAAAATATTTGGAGGGTTTGTGATTGCATTAAATTAAAAATAAACTTTATATTTCCTGAACAGAGAGAATTAAAATCCATTTCTTCCAAACATGGTACCTTCGGGGTAGTGTTAAAGGAGGGTAGGTAATATTTTCGTACTATAAAATCGAGGTGTTTCAGATTTTTGCCCAGTAATAACTATAACTCTCGCCAGGAAAGATTGCCGGTCACAGAACACTTGATCCCGATCTACAATCTCTGTTTTTCGTTAAGTGCTAGCACAGATATACGTATATCTGTGGTGCTAGCGACTTCCGAGATAGTATCATGTCAATGTTGAACGAAAAGACTTTTTGTTCAACATTAGCACGATCCTATTCCAGAAGTCGCTCGCATCTTAAGAAAAACAAAGATTGTAAATCGACACAAGGTGTGCTGTGATCGGCAATCTTTCCTGGCGAGAGTTATACAAACATTTATTCCATGCATATGGACGACTCAGTATGTGATGATTATTACAAAATAACACAGGCTTTGGAAAAATTGTAAGCTGAACAACTCGATAAAGCTCATTTCTAAAATATAGAAAATAGACCCCAGTTCTTCACACAGGTGGTAAGTAAACGGCAGTGTAAAGTTGTTCACATATCCGACGGGCACATATATTGATTTCGGAAAAATTCACTTAGGACTCTGTAGAACTAATATATCAACGTACCGTAAGATGGCGCACGTACCGCTAACGGAACAAACGCAATCGGCACGGACTTAAAAAATAGGCAGCTCCGGCCTTAATTACGTTATCGATTCGAAATAATGCAAAGATTAGTGGAGTGCGGAGGCGTAAACGATTTCTAATTTTCGAGAAAAGCCCAACTACGTCTAAACGTTTCCGAGCCAAATTGCGCATGTGTATCCGGCACCATTTCGTGATTAGATAGAAAGGTCTGAACAGTATTTTCAGATTCACAATTCAGATTGTAAATTATGATGGGTGTGAGCTAGTTCCTAAGTTCTCTTTTGAGTTTTTTTTCTCTGACAATAAAAGCGTACTACTAGTCGTCCATTTTTCTTTTGTGGACTTTTTTTGGCCCGAGGTGATTATGGTTTTTTTTTAGTTTGTTGGTTGTCATTAATTCAAGGCCGTAACGATTATCGATACGTAAATTTGTGTATTATACATTGTGTATGTGCGAGCGAAAAAGTTGACACGCACACGTTTTGGGTTGCGCAAAAATGATGCGAGTCAATTTTTACAAAACGGCCTTAGGACAGAGAGAGACAATAGCGGAACCCTCGTGCACTTGTTCCATTGGAGCTAAATGTATAGAAATTTACACAATAGAAACGAATACATTGAAAAGAGTGGTCGTGGAACACAAAACCCACTGAATTCGCGCGACCCAGAGACGGAAACCCCTCAGATATGGACTCGCCCGAGCCTCAATTAAACAGCCTACTACGCGTTCTAAAAAGATTTTTTAAATGATGCAAGCGAAGCAAAAGTTTATTTTTGACTTTTTGCGTTTATTTCGAGAGTTTTTCTTCTACTGTCATTAGCGACGAATGATAAAATACCGAATGCGTCATAATTATCGGGTTGTACTTCTGCATGCAAATTACGCTTAATTACTGTTTATTCAGCTAATTTGCCTCGTTATCGACACATTATTTATACTACAGCGAATAGGTTTTTCTTAATTAAACTTCGAGGTCGCCGAAATTGTTGCAGAGGATTAATTGGTTATTGTTTCTGCCATTTAAGGGAGGAAAAACGAAAAAAGATTATGTGTAGAATGGTAAGTTTTGTAAGATGGTTAATACAACTTTACGGGCGACCGAAAAGTCCAACTAAACAAGGATGAAATATAAAGGAAAGCAACATTATTTTACACGAAACTGTACGGTGCGCGTGCGACCTATGTTCGCGTTTTCCTTGTCTGTTGCATACAAAGCCGCGTAGAAATCGTCGCGTTTGTCGGAGCGCGTGGCGTTTTTAGAGGCGGAGCGGCCTTTAGAAGCGACGGGGCCCAGTATGTTATGTGAAGCGAAAATACGTAGGGAAGTGCGCTCGCACAGTGTTAAAACAGTGTAAAATTAGTGCAACAAATGTGAAAATTTATTAAAATAAAGTGGTGAGAACGTGCGAAGTGTCGTTATGTGATGTGTTGTTGAGTGTGGAAGCTAGTGCAGCCGTCATGAAGAGCAAACGTCTGTGGAAAATGTGAAAAAGTGTATAGTGTATGTGTGGCGCGACGAAAAACAAGATTTCTCAATGAGGTGTTCAGGGCAAAATGGTCAGAGAGACTAGACACCTTTGGGTTGGAAATTTGCCCGATAACATACGTGAAGATCGCATTCGAGAACATTTCAAACGGTAATTATACCTACACTATGGTGCCTTTTATACCACGTGTTCTACACTGATCGTCATTTGTTTCTTTTTTTTGTGCGGGAAAAAGACCGCCCTTGATTTCGCATTTTTCGCACCGTGTGTCTGAGTGTTTATTATTAAAGGATGTTTATTTTGTGTGGGTGTGCCCCGTGCTGCTTGCCTGCTTGCTGCAGGTCGTAACGTAACGTCGGCCACGTTTCGCATTCTTTCCAAACACTTTTGTATATATATAAGAATTTCTAAATTTAATTGTAGAGATCCGTCCCGTAAATGTTTTTACGTCAGCTAGTAACTCGCGCTTTAGTAACAGCAGCAGACAGAAATATGCGTACCCCCCGCTCTCCCCCTTTCGAAAAAAGGGGTTGAAGTGCGTCCCTCATTATGCCCTGCCACTCAACAAACTTGTTCCACATCTTAAAACTTTGCATCCATTTGTTTGGATGAAAAAAAAACGGTTGTGCACTTAGTCTCCCTACAAATACGTACAACAAAGTATAAGTGAGGGTAGCTGAAACCTTCCACTTTTATTTCGATTGCACTCGAAATTGAAAAAAGTCGTTCTGATGACAAACTAGAAAAGTGAAAAAATAGGGCTAATTTGCCATTACGGAATATATGTTACAAAAATGTGCGAAATTTGCTTCGATTTTCAAAATTTTACAATATTGCCAACCATCGAAATTTGAATGCACAGCAAAATTCCAAACTACGGAAGTTCTCGAAATGTCCATTGGGTTTTAATCAATTTTGTTGAAAAATATGTTTTTTTATAGTTTGTCGGAGATTGGCAAACATTATGGAAGAGGAAGGTAAGTAAAAAAACGAGGAAAAATTAGAGGTTTGTTACAGGGCACCCCAATAGGATATTCTTAGTAAATTCTGGGGCCACTTTTTCAAGATGCCAACAATTTCAAAAAAATGGCCAATTTCGTATTTGCAAAATATCTCTGATCAATTGGATTGGTTATTATTGAGGAGTTTTGCAATACAGAAGTATCTGCTGATTAAGATCGGGCTTAATTAAAGGTATTAAAAAAATTGGAAAATCGTCAAATTTCAAAAAAATGAAATATTCGAGGAAATATTTCTTGAAAAATGTTCATCATGAAAACTAATAGGACAAACTCAAAATAAAATTCAAAATGGCGGTTCCTTCCGCTAATGGGGTATTTTTCGAGGAATGTGTACAAAAGAATTTCCGAGATTTCCTTAAAAAACTACCCTACCCGAGAATACCCAAAGACTTCCGAAGAATTCCGTGATTTCTCAAGAAATGCTAGAGATTTCCGAACAATTCCCAGAGGCTTCCCCTGAATTCCTAGAGGCTTCAGAATTCCCACAAATGTGTAATGTTCAAGAGTTCTGCGTTGACTTAATAGATCTAAGATCACAATCAGTTAAATATTAGCCTGATCCAGGAATTTTAGATTTGTAAAAAAACTGGATATGCTCAGACACAAACGTTTATTTTGAAAAGAGACAAACATTATAAACATCGAGATAAACAGAAACTTTAAATTCACGTGCAAACGTTAAAAATGAACCTAAATCAAGAATTGAGTAACTATAAATATTGTTTTTTCCTCGGTTTTTTCAAGTTTTTGAACCTTTTACAAATTGCGTCTTTTATTTCAGGCCGAATTGTTAAGGGTTTATGTGTAAACATTTCAATAGGTCCAAAAAATATGTACTGTTTGGCTACCACTTGATTATCTTCCTTTTTTGGCCAAAAATATTCATTCATTAATCGTTGTTTGTTTGTCGATATACACTGTGTCTTATCTTATTCATGTAATAATTATTATTATTATTCAAAACTTCATTTAAAAATACTACCTAATATCCATTGTTTCGTTTAGGTATTTTTAATTTTGTCAACATACCAACATATTTCTCGACTTCAATTATGACAATACCACAGTTATACTTTATTGCCCTACTTATTAACGAGCTCCCTAAGCGAGTTCATGATTTTAGACATTCTGTCCGTCCATCTGTGTACATAATATCTCGCGAACGGCGAATTTTCCAATTCTGTTTTCAGTATTATGTTTATCATCACTCAAGAAAGAACTGATTAAATAAAGTACATTCTGTATGTTACCATTTTTATTACGAAATACGAATGCAACGATGTACGATACACAACGGCAAAATAAAAGTTGGAATGTGTTGCATTCAACAGAATGGTGCACCCGCTCACGACGGCCTAATCGTGCGAAACTACCTATAGGACAAATTTTCTGGAAAGAGGAAAATTTGTTCGATAGGTATTCTCGCACGATGAGGGCGTTATGAGCGGGTGCACCATTCTGTTAAAACCAACAATTTCCAACTTTTGTCAGTTCTTTGTGTACCATAACATGGTTGTATTCCAAACCTCCATTTTAAAAATGGATGCCAGAAAAAAACTATAAAAATTCAGAAAAATAATAAATGTTGGGCATTGTGCGCCTGGATGACTTGAACTGGATTGACCCACGGAACTGCATTCACTAATCTGACCTTAAGAGCGTAATTTTTTGGACACCCAATTACTCAATATTTCTGCAGCTGTCATTTTGTTTCTGTGACTGTGGCCCGTTGGGGGTCGTTTCCCCAACCACTAAGGCAATATGTATTGTGAATGGTTGGGAGTAATAGGAAGGAATTATGGGGCAGTATGAGGAAATAAGGGGAACTACTAAAATATGGGGAATTACGAGGTAATACGGAGAAATATGAAAGAATATGGGGAAATATAACCTCAATTCGAGTAAAGAACAAGGTAGTAGGAGGAAATACGAGGTAATACTTGGGAAATGTAAGGAGATATAGACTGAAAAGGAAAAATAATTCCTCTATGAGGAAATATTTTTGCAAAGTAACAGAGGTGGTTTCCTCGGCGAAAATATAAAATCAATAAGTGCCAAGATAAAATTATTGGTACTTTATTTGGGAAAAACGAGGGAATCAAGTACTCGTGCAATATACACTGTGTGCAAGATAAGGATGCCTACCATGGGAAACTCGGAAACCATAGAAGATGCGAAGATGGTCAAATGAGGGAAAAGATGCACAATCAAAAGCGTTATTATCGCGCTTTCAAGAAAATAACTCATACAGTGTGTACTTTCTTACGGGCCATATAAACAAATAAAGTTGATGATGATTTCTCCGAAACGAAACGTTGTATTGAAACCCTTTGAACGGTGTCTTGTAAAGCTCAAAAAGTGGCAATGAGAAAGTGCATGTGTTCAAATAACATCAGAAAAAAATAAAAACGAAATCGGCAAATTTCGGTTTTGGTCGCATATCTTCGGAAGTAATAGGAATTTTCTGGTTTTCTTTAAAGCATCATAATAACTCTTATCTTTTCTCTAATTTGACAATCGTCGTATCCTCTATGTTTTCGTAGATCTCCGAGGAGATTCCCATGACAGAAATCTTTATCTTGAACACAATTATAGACGTACCTATACCGCGTAAACATATAGTATGTGTCTTTTACGAGAATAAAGTAAGTGCGGTGGAATTACCTTACAACCCTTACGTTATTACTGACCTCGTTACTGATGCGTAAGCAAATCGCTTCTCATTTAAAAGCAGGCGTATACCTACTTAGTGTTGTAAAATTCCCGTAGTTTATTTATCGTTGCGAATATTCGGAAACTTTCGAGAATATTCGGGAATTTTCGGTAATATTCATATTTTACAAAAATATACTCGAGACTATACTATTCTCGAAGGGATCCTCCACCAAGCAAAATACTGTACACCAAATGTCGATTCGGTAGTATTTAGCATGTTATTGCCAGTAATGTTTGTACTGGTTCTGTATAATGCTTTTATAACGTTTAATGCCACAAACAGAATCACTCTAGGTACGTTTGCTTCTAAGATACAGGGTGAAAACGAAAAGTGTGATTGTTTGGGCGTTATCATATCTCACTACTCGTGTAAGGTAGAAAAAGTTAAAAACGGACTATTTTAGATATTTTCACGTAGAATCCAATGTATGTATCAGTATACAGGGTGTTACAAATTTGATGGATTAGCATTGCTAGTTTAATAATTATAAGAAAATGAGAGTTTGTTAAATTGAGGCAAAGTTAAAAAGAAATTAATTAATAATATAAAATAATTTTCGTTTATATTTTTTTATGGCTTTATTATGTCTTAATTATTTGAAAAAATGAAGAAACTGTTTTAGTCTTTGTAAGAAAATGATCTTATTTTTAGAGACCAAAATCAAGTTTATTTTTTTAAATACGGACCTGGATTTTTTTCATTTTTAAGTAGCTTTTGATCTCCCTCTCTCATGATGTTTTTATTGGTTTTAGTAGATCAAAAACTACTTACTCAAAAATGAAAAGAAATCCAGGTCCGTATTTAAAAAATAAAGTTATTGGTATTCAAAAACCAAAACGTCGCATCGAAAATGGGAAATTTTTTTTCCAGAGAATAGAAAAATGCTGTAAGGCTTTAGGGGTGCTTACTTGAAGGGGTTCAGTACAGTAATTACATAAATATGTATAATTTTTAGGGGGAATATTTAAAAAAAAACATATTTTTTCGGAGTTCCGAGATGATTTTGTGATTTTTTTTAATTTTTAGAATATTTGACTATTACATTTTTTTGAATTGGTATGTTATTGCAGTATATGAACAGTGATTTTTAGTTCTTGCTACTACAATAATATGTATATATATTTTTAAAAAAATTGATCAGAAATATTCCAAAAAATCATAAATTCATAAAAAAAGACTCCGAGCAAATAATTCTTATTTTTTTTCTTTAATATTTCTCCTAAAAATCATACATATTATATGAACAGTATAGGCATTAATGTTCTTGTAAATCTTTCGAAAGCACAACTCGGAGCACCTTATTGGAGGAGGCTTACGTGACGTTCTAAAGTACAGCAATTAATTAAATTATTTGTTTGACTACAGAAAATGTTAAAGAAACAAGAACTAACATTCATTATGTTGCACCTATTTCGTCGCATTTTTCGGCATTTTGTAATTTTGTAAATTTTTGGAATTTTTATAAATATTTCTGAATTTTTTTAAATTGTCATCACATCCATGCAATATGGGGACAAAACTAAGAACGCAATCTAACTTACATTTTTTTTATAGTTTTTTAATATTTTTCAAGATAAGATATGTCAAACGGGCAAGCACGATTGGAATTTCTTGAAAAAGTAGGCCGTGAATGTGAAAATCGTTTAGCAGCAATAGAACTGACAAAAACAAACTTTTTGCTATTGGGACATAATTGGACCAACCCTGTACAGCAGAAGAAACTTGTGTACAAATGTGTACAAATTAAATCACAATTGCAAAAAGTATCGTTGATCTTAACTTAACAGTGATGAAAATCTCCATGACTTTCAGATCATATGCGCAGAAGTATTTTTCAGGCTGAAATAAGATTCTATCAGGAGAACATAAGCAGTCTTTCTTTAGTACCAGCCGAGACCTTCTACATCTTCTAGCGATCTTTGGTCTTAATTTAAAGAATGATGTTTTGTTCCTAAGTATTAGGAGAACAGAAGCGCAGAAGATTTCTTCTGGTGGTAATAATTTTTTAACTTCTATAAATTCTTCTCCAACATTCAGGTTAACATAAATAATATGCAGAAGTGTTTTTCTGGTACCCGGTTGAAATCGAGCAGTATTTTTTAAACTTTTAATAATAATAACGAGAATAATAATATGTATTTTGTCTAAGCCTATAAGCGATCATATTATGATATAAGACAAGTCCTACAGTCTACCGTACTTACATTCAGTTAAATATTCATCTACAGTGTAATATGCG